AAACGATACACAAGATAGGCAATTTGTAACGCCTGCCATTATTTATAAGCCTGTGCGGAGCGCGGGGTCACGATATCGATCGTGTGACGTCACGTCACGTCGTCATTCCCGCTAGGATTACGCTAAATATAGCTTGTTGCCATGTGGAAGGTGGGCGGAACGGCAGGCATGGAAAACACGTGGCACTGTTGTTGCCGAGATGCACTTTTCCAACAACTGCAAGGTGGCGCTGATATGATTTATCAAAATAAGTTTTATTATTTCCTTCAGTTGTGTCAAGAACAATTTGATACATAATGACATTTGTGTCTATTCTCAAAATTTATTTCAAATGGCCAACGTTCCAACATACATGCAATTACTTCTAGTTGGGCGAAAAAGTGCAATAAATTTTCACCGTGTTGAGCTGGTAAGCATTTTTTTGCAAAGCGGTACTTAATTTCCAGGCACTTTTAGTAAACTACATTACCTCTAGTAGTTTTGAGCGACTTTTCGGACCTTTGCTTAGCTTGTGTTGCATGTCACCATGATCAGGATAAAAAAAATGTATTTTCACAGCGCCGTTCAAGGTTTTCAAGTAGCCCCGTTATTCACCGTCACCAAGAACTTCACCATCTGGTTCCTACCCCTTGACACGCCAGGAATAGCAGCACTTGACCGGAGGGGCTCTAGTGCCATGTGGAGGGTGCTACAGAAAGGGTACTTCTACCTATTGATCTGTTGTTGGAAGTCAACTGACAGATACGTACGTTCAATTCCTTTGAGATTTACTGTAGTCGGTACTTTTATTTCATACGCTCGCCAGAAAAGTTTGTAATTAAAAGTAAAAAAAGGCAGTATCAAAGTGTGTCTATCTATTTAGATTATTATATTCTTTGGTGGCGATTCCTGGAGTGTCAGACAGACAGAGGCACGTACTTTATTGTATTCATTTCTAGTATTGTTCTCGAAGCGGCTTATAGCTCCTATGATGCTAAAGCCCTTCCATCCAGACGCTCTTATAGAGGGAAGTATCTGACCCCGTACATTCTTTCCCCTTCAACATCACTCCAAGTTTCCACTACTGGTCTCTGTTCAGCCCAGTTGGACAAGGTCCAACTGTCCATGTCAACCTGGATGGCTGTACCGACTGAATGTACTCTCCAAGAAGAGGTTTAGGCTGTTTTATTAGGCTCCCTTTTTTGTACAGGTATCTTTTTTTTCGCCAGTCAAACGGTGTCGTACCCCATCGTACCGATGCTATCTTGCCAATTGGATACTGTCTTGCAGCCACCAAAAGATCTGTTAGGAGATTACACTAAAGGCAGTTGAGCCTAAGACCCGAAGAAGATGATTTGTGCTCAGCCCCTTCACCTGTCCCTGAAAGGGGTGCATGTGAGGAAAACCCGGTCACGTTCGCATGTCCTCAGGTATCGTAGAGCATGCGCACTGTTGCGTAACATCATTAGAGCGGCTCCAAAAATGTCCTGGGGACGAGATGCGTGGGAAGGACTGATAAAAATCGAGAAAAAAATAATCTATTTCATGAATGCATTAATTTGTCAAATAGGTGGCACCGGTATTACGTTTGGAACAAAAAATTGCCTCCGACAGAGGTCCAGGGATTTTGTTTTCGAAGACGTATAATATTTACACCTGATTCAAATTAGCAGGATATCAACTTTTGTAAAAACAAGAAGCTGTTGTTAATTTCTCGATGAATGTTGTTGTAACCAGCCAACACATCTCCGTTAGATCCGTCCGTCAACAGATGATGACCTTGTCCCCGGGAAGACAAGAGATCATATC